AATTCAAGTATAATTATACATTACATATTTAGCTTACGATAGCAGCTAACACCCAAGAGATGAAGTAATTGACACACCCGGTTTTTTTTTTAAATTTTAAAATAATATTAGTCTAAATACTAAAACTGGTAGCAAACCCTTTTAAAGTTAAACTTACATACTAAATATACCTTAGAAGGTATAATAAAATTAAATTTATAAAACTGATAATGATAAATGGAAGATTAACGGTAGACGTAATATTATCAGTTGACGAGGTAGAACACTTTGTCTACCTAGGAGTCTGTCTGCATGGGTTATATAGATAGACGTAGGTTATCCATCTTATCTATTTCTTAAGAAATGTTTTGGTCTGGATGGAGAGTTAGTACAGCTACAGACTGTGAACTATGAAGATGAAATACCCGAGTTCCCAGTGGCTACAATCTGACAACTCAATTATAGCCATCTTTATTTGAAGTAGGTTGGTTATTTCATAGACTGCAATATTCACAATCATTAGGTGAACTATAAGTTCCTTCTTCACCTTATTTATTTTTTTAAAACAGTTTCGTAAGCCGTTGTTTCCCAATCCAAATAATGGATTCGGTTACTATATTGAATATCGATTGATTAGGATGCTTTTGAGATCATGTATATATTTATATATACATATAACTTTGCAGCGTTATAGGGTATATCAAGGTTTTCCCTAACATGATAAAATAAGTTTGTTTCCAAACAAGACTCCTGTCTTTACAATATTGAGTTTCTTCTTTTTACACATCTATCTATGTCTAATTTTGGATCTAGGAAAAGGTGGCGGAGCAAATCCGTGTTAGGTATGTTAGTAAATAATAATTTATTACTACGCCGTAGTCCTGAATGAGGGACGTATTTTATTTCATAGCATTATCTTTCTTAGTTCGTTTTTGCCGTAAAGAATATAAGACGACACTTTGTCTTTAATTTTTTTATTTTATGTAGTGTATTATTTTATTTTAATACCTACTAAAATACCTGCTTAGTTGTCGGAGAATTGGTTAATATTATTTATTGTGAGGCCTGAGAGGATTATTTATTGAAGCTTTGAAATAATGATGAATTTAATATATCTTTTAAAAAGGCTTATTATACATAAAGATTATTTTATACAAGTATTGAATTGAAAATTCTCTTCATTCAAATTCTAAAGAAGGAAAAATATGTTTACAACTATTAAGAAAACTATTAAGAAATAACTAAATTTACGATAAGTTAAAAAAAAGCTATAAATATTTATCTTTGTGTTTAAATGCGACTACTCAAAAGATTTTAGCACAAACAAATAAGTAGCTAACTCCTTGTGTTTACGCGGTTAAGTGTGTCGGTCGAGGTGAAGAATCCATTCAGAACGCTTTTCAACCTCTGAAGAAAACAAAGGGGTGATATACATTTGTAGTGTGTATATGTGTGTCTGTCTGTGGCATCATAGCAGCTGAACTGAAAATTTTGATAAAAATTTTGTGTCTTAATTGAGAGTGTTCTTAGCTATATTTCAAGAAAGTCTGATCAGCCGTTTGATGATCATCAGCTCTTTTTATTTCTGTTTGTTTTAGTTTTTAATTTAATTTATGGTACTCAAAACACAAAGTTGAGAGGCCTTTAACAGTGTGGTTGTCGTAGGTAAGGACAGATATTCTCGCAGGCAAACAAGTCAGACCAGGGAGCGGTCAATGCTCCTTCATTAGTACGGAGTTTGTTCTATATATCATACAAACTTGTCCGGAATCATCAACTGCGTATATTAAGACTTCAGTTATGGTTAGGTTCCATCAAAATCCCTGGCCCTGCTCTTAAAACCCTCCTAACTAGCGAGGTAATTATAGGCATTTTTTCAAAATAATATGCCTGCTTGCGCGTCACTGATGACGATAACACTAGAAGACCTACATATACTTCACGTGTTGCTGTGTCATAATGTTATAAAAAGAATATGCGTCGTAGAGCCATGCTAAAGCTATATTATAGTTGTAGCACGAATATATACGAAGGACCACGCTCTTAGAGAATACCAGCGTAAAATAGCAGCACAATGCTGTGTTTCGAATGGTGAGTGTAGTGAATCTGAGATCCTCTTATACAGTTAAAAGGGGTTTTTTAAAACGAGACATTATAGACCTCAGAGTCGAAAACGCATCTACTTGTTGATTCTGACTCGAGGATAAATGAAGGTGTCTATGGGCCAGAGCGCCCTCTTAACATTAGGTGGGGTGTGGCTCGCATGTCACCCTTATACTATATTGATACAAAATGCAACTTGTTCTGGCGCTTACATCGAACTTGAGCTGGTCAGTCATCTGGACCACTAAGCATTCAATCTGGTCCTGGCCACCATCGCTTACATTTGACCAACTCTGCCCACGAGAGACCTCGGCTAGGAAAGTCAGAAGGATTGTCCTGAGTCAAGACTTGCCTCCAGACAGAAGGTTCAACTGTGTCAATTATTTTAACTACTCGATGCACAACAAAGGGTAATAATACAGTTGAACTATCAGTATAAACTACAATATGAGACATATTACGATTTTCGATCTATTACGTTCTCGATCTATTATCGAGATATTACGATCGATTACGATATGAGGTACGTGATAACAAGAGCGCACCACACAACTCCAAACGATTAACTGTTAGAGGCTTAATCGGAGCCACTCTCCTTAGATTTAGAAATTAAAAGAGAAACTTGTTTTTGATCATTGATACTTGATCAAAGATAGACGCAGCATCCATGTGCTTTTGTTGATCAATCGCAAAACCCAATCAGCTGGTGTGCAGCGGTTAAGTTAGCCACGGTTTTACGAGGTATTTTTATCGATTTTATATTAGATAAGTCAGACACAAATGAAACCCAATCGTTACGTAGATTCGCAGAAATGAGTTCATTTCAAGTAAATCCAATACGCCATAAGTTTTGAAGAAGTGGTTTGGCTAAAAGAATAAAAGGTGAAAGCCAACCCAACGGATCATAAATATGAGCTACGTGGGAGAGGATTGAACGTTTCGTAAACTTCAAATTCACAGGAGAGACGCAATAAGTGAAATAGTCTTTCATTGGATCCCATTGAACTCCTAAAACCTTAAGCGTTATTGAACCATCATCATAAAATGACTTCAGAAACTGACGATGTTCCATAGGTAACGACTGAAGAAATAAAGAGCTGTTACTACTCCATCTACGTAAATCTAGCTGAGCACGTCCTCCGTGCTCCTCCTCCTTCATCCTCCTATCGAATTCTGTATGGGACTTAAATGTGACAATTATCTCCTAACCAAGCACAAACCCAAATTTATGTTTTGTAAAGCAGATTTTATTAAAATTGTAAATAAATTAAATAGCATATCATGGGAAGACGAATTGCCGCGTTATGAAAACATAGATGACATTTCTATAAAGCACTTAAATCCATCATCAAATACTACGCGCAGTCAGAAGTAGACGTGTCGTGTATTGTTCTAGCTAATTATAAAATAAAATTTAATTTTAACGTGATTTATATTTGGAATCTAATGTTAAATATAAATAATGTTAAAGCTATAAAAGTTTCTAGATACTTAATTCCTATTATAACCGCGTAATACAACGTTGCGACGCGACGTGCCACAGTGCTGCTCTTCGCCACACCCCCCCCCCGAGTAAAGGAGACAATCAGCGATTTTTCTTCCTGCGCATACACATATTTTACATACACAGTGCTAATACTCATTGACCATCTTAACATGAGCGTGAAGCGGTCTCCACCCGGTTCTAGAGCGGGCTCACCTTTTAGTGGTGAATCTATGAGCGGCTCAAACACCGATCTACCTACTAACGATTATCATAAAATAACACATAGAAGACGTAAACAAATAGATGCCGTGTCGTGTCGTCTTCTTAGCTGACAAAATTCAAAACTGAAATAATGAAATTCTTCAATAATTTTGGGAACTTACAGAAGAAAGAATTTAAAAGGTTGAAAGATGAAGTGTCACAAATTAAAGGAGTAAAATACGACGTCACGATTATAAGGGAACAGCTGGAGTCTATAAAAATCAGTACTGTTAAAATCACTCGCGAGCATAGTGAAATGATGAATGATATTTCCGAATTAAAAAACTCATTAAATTATCATTCAGCTGAACAAACCACTCTGACAACACTTATTGATGATGTGGTATCGGAGATCAAAAAGGTTGATCTGTTACAGCTGTAGCCGTGGAAGGAAAAGGGGAGATCTCCCGCCAGGCAAGGTGTTCTGCCCGGGGAGCGGCCGACACTCCGAGTGATAGTTCGGAGAAGTTCTATTTATACTGTCTATGATTCGGAATGTTGATAGCGTGATTTAAGCTTCGGTGTATTTCGCTTGTGGCGCGACGACAGCGCCGCTAAATCACCCCCTGCTCAGACCGGAGGTCGATAGTGCAGCCTCGTTGCCGACGAATGTGCAAGTGCCAGGAGATTGCCTTGTCTGCGGTGAGTCGAGAAGAAGGCAAGTAATCTGCGAGAGTGCCGTGAAGCAGAGGCGAGCAGTAAGGCTCAGAGCCGTGCCGAACACTGTATAGCGCAGAGAGTAGCTTGAAGGAACAGGAAGCATTATTATTCCAGTGCTGCGATGAACCTTGTGAAGCTAGATGGCTTGCAGAATATGAAGACTGCAGTTTATATCAGCTCGGGAGCGAATGGGTGGGGTATTTCTATGACGATGATGAAGCTTGAAGTTTCCGAAGGTTGTTGGTTGCGTGTTCAGATCACGTCGGGGTCACCACTGTAGCCGTGGAAGGAAAAGGGGAGATCTCCCGCCAGGCAAGGTGTTCTGCCCGGGGAGCGGCCGACACTCCGAGTGATAGTTCGGAGAAGTTCTATATATACTGTTTATGATTCGGAATGTTGATAGCGTGATTTAAGCTTCGGTGTATTTCGCTTGTGGCGCGACGACAGCGCCGCTACACAGCAAAATATATCGGAATTACAAGAAAAATATGAATCTCTGCGAAATGAATTCATGGAGCAACGTGATCGCGCTATGAATATTGAGATCGAGAATAGAGAGATAAAGAATGAAATTGTTTCCGATTACGTTATTGCAATAGGCAAATACACGGGAATAGTTATATCTGCAGAGGACTTTATTTATGCCCATCGTGTTATGTCACGTGACAGGGACAATAAATCACCAAAAAATATTGTGGTTCAACTAAAATCAATCCTCTATGCTGTACGTAAGAAGAAGGGTTTAACTACAAGGGACATAGGAATCCCGGGAGAGTCGCGAAATATATATGTAAAACGGGCTACACACGAGACGATATCGGTGGCGATCTAGGGTGGAAAGAAATCGGGGCTTTTATCGGGGCAGACCCTACACACGGGCCTGCCTAGCAGTACGCGTTCGGACTTGGAGCGGAACACATATGCGGTAGAGTTCTTCAAAATAGCTTCAACTCTCTTAAAACACCAATGTATTGGTTTGGCATTAGCCCTCTCGGTAAATTTATTCGAAAATAGAAAAAGAGGAGTTGCTGGGTGAAAAAATGGCTCCAAAAAAAATAAAAATTAAGCCACATAAACGTACTAAATGATCTGTATTCCAAAGACATGATTAATTTTCTCCGGATGGATGAAGACAGTTTTTATAACCTTCTAGAAATGATTTCTCCACTTATATAAAAACATCAATTTCTCCTATGTACCTATGCTATTTAGTTATTTCTTCTCTTTGTTCATTTCTACTTTGGTCAAAATCTGGTTATGTATTACACACAACAAACAAGGAAATAAAATACTTTTGTATAATAATATGTATACTTTTTTTAATGTAATCTTTATTTATGGAGTAAAACTATCAGAAAATAAAATAGCTTATATCTTTCTTTAAACATAAAGAAACCTTTAATTTCGGACATACTCCCTTTTATATAACTTGTTTGTTGATGTGGAGATGGTGAAGGAGTAGTAGTTGTTTATAAGAGGATGAAGGCACGTAAGAGATCGAATTTTGGTCTTGTGGAGTTGTAAGAGATATGAGTGCGGTCTTGTGTTGATAGTGTTGGAATAGGAGTTAGTTGTTGAGGAGAGGCTTTATCTTCTCCTTACTTACATCATACACTCTACTTTACGAACGGCAATAAAAAATTAGTTTAGTAGGCATTCTTGACCATGTCACTTCGCAGGGTCACAGGCTAGGGTGGATATGATTTGAATTTCGATAAAATTTCATTTAATTTATTTATTTTATTCACTTTTTTTTGGTTTTTTGTAAAATATCAGTGCCATAGGCTTCTGCTCCGTTTATATGATTAAAATGTAAAAATTTTGTTACATAAAAAAGGTCATTCAGTATCACTGTTTTGTTAACTTCCTTCCGCGAGGGTTGCCGGCAGCGACTGCCAAAAGAAATCGGGCCGATGCGCCTACACACACGCAGTAAGGAGGGGGCGGTGCCCCGATCTAGGAAGCATCGGCTGATCTAGGAAGCATTTTTGCTCCTGCCAGCCGATTAAGGAGGCGATATCGGCTACGACTTAGGATGGCTCTACATACGACACGATTTAGAGGCAATCTAGGAGGCATCCCCACTACTCCACCCTAGATCGCCACCGATATCGTGTCGTATGTAGCCCGCTTTAATGAACACCTCACACCTGCTAATAAAACGCTGCTAAAACAAACCAGAGTCGCCGCTAAATGTGCAAATCCTAAATATGAATACGTGTGGGTTCGTAACTGTAAAATTTATGTAAGGAAAGACGATAATTCCCCTAAAATTCACATAAAAACTCTTTAGATTTAAATAAACTTAAATGACTGTGTTACTTTAAGTTACGACTATTGTTATTTATCTTAAACGGTGTACTCGTATTGTTCTTTAATAGTGTGGCTGAATGTTTTTTTAAATTAAATAATGTTACTATTTATATATATACAAACATTTTTCAAATACTTTATTATATATACTATAGACTTATTATTTTATACACACTTTAATCTTTATACTATATTGTTATTTATATTTAATATATACTCGTACATACATATGCACCTTTTATCTGTCTGTGTGGGTAACTCCTCAGTTAATATCGAATTCATGCTTACAAAACAACAAAGGAATGATAATTCCTTTAACATTAGTGATGTTGAAAAGTATTCGACTTGTTTTGTTTTTCGCTCTAAATTCATATATGGTTACTATTTATAAACACATAAACATTTTATATAAATACAAATTTCGCTTACTATATACATACACATGCAACGATTGCTTGATTAAGAGGATTACCATTAATGTATTATCTAATATTTATATACAAAATAAGTTCCCACCTAAGTACTTTATTTTCAAATACCTTCCAAAATTTATAATCTTATTGTGAGTCTAAATTACAGCTTATCATTATAAACAGTAAAGTAACTTGGAACACATTATTTTTGTTTGTTTGTGTTTCATTATTCACTTTAATTGTTCTTTGTTTTAATAGTCGTTTATAATAATCTAAAAAAGGGTTTAAGCCTGTACTATCAAAATGTTCGTGGTTTACGGACGAAATGTAATGAGCTATATAACAATATTTTATCTCAAGATTATGATATAATCTTATTGACCGAAACCTGGTTAAAAAGTGATATTTATAGTAACGAACTATGTGATCTTAGATATGATGTTTTTCATCATATCTAAGATCACATAGTTCGTTACTCATGGCAGCTTTAACTCCCACGGGGCTGACTGTTGTTCCCCCCACTATTGGGGGTCTGGAGGGCATAGTTAGGGCCCTGCCCAACACTGCTCTGGGATTGGATGGAATCAGTGCAAGAATTGTTAAGAACGTGTGGAGAGCTGCACCTAGGGAATTCCACTGGGTGTATTCCAAATGTGTGCAAGAGGGGGGTTTTCCCCGAAGTGTGGAAGAAAGGACGTCTTATAGTGATTCCGAAAGGGAATGACAGGCCACTAACGGATCCCAAGGCGTACCCGAGGCCCGATAACGCTCCTCCCCATCTTTGGGAAATTGCTGGAGAGAGTTTTGTTACGGTATGCCCCGAGTTTGGTAAGGGGAATATAGAACTACCAGCATGGGTTTTCGCCGGGTCGGTCAACAGTAACGGCGCTGCAAGATGTGTTTAGCACTGCTCGCGAGTCGCAGCGCAAGTAAGTGCAGGCCGTCTTCGTGGACATATCGGGAGCATTTGATAATGCATGGTGGCCAAAGATACTGTTGAAAGCCAAACAACGGGGGATTCCGCCTAACATCTACCGCATGTTGGTGGACTATTTCACCAACCGACGGGTGGGTATATACGTAGGTGAGTGTGTCGAATAGAAACCATGGGCTTCCCGCAAAAATCAGTTCTTGGACCGACCCTGTGGAATCGAAAATGTTGACGTATGCAGACGACGTGACACTTCTGAGAGAGGCAAACTGTAGAGCTGAAATAGAAAGAGCGGCCAAATCTGCACTGGAGCTGGTATCATCGTGGGGAGACCGGTTATCCTTCTCCTCCGCGAAGTCATGCACTATGACTATCAAAGGCAAGTTCCAGCGACCACCTGTCATAAAGATGGGGACGGAGTCTATAAGAAGCGTAATATCGACTAAGGTTATTAGGTATTAGGTGTCACGCTAGACTCAAGTCTATTTTTCATCCAGCACTCCAAGGACATTGGAGAAACAGCTGGGAGATTTTTTGGGAAGATGTCGCGAGTTTTGGCATCGTCTTGGGGCATGCGCTACCCGGTCCTCCGTGTTCTATATAAGGGAACGTATGTTCCGAAAGTAACTTATGCTGCAGCTGTTTGAGTTGATCGTGTGGGGAATTATACAGTGCGCACGGCACTGCTGAGATCGCAGAGATCCTGGCTCGTGTTGTTGACGAAGGGCTATAGGACGATAAGTACTGCGGCGCTTCCGGTATTGGCCGGCGTCCTTCCCGCCGATCTGGAGGTAACTGGTTTTGGTAGGATTGATCGGATGCGTAGAAACGCTGAGAATGGGAAGTTGAGCAGGCGTGAGCGCGAAATTTGGGCTCAAGTTGTGAATGTATGGCAGGAACGATGGAAGAACTAGACGAATGGCAGGGAATTATTCTGCTTTTTCAAGGACGTGGCGGCGCGACTTAATGCAAATTGGGTCGTACCGGACTACCAAGTCTCACAGATTCTCAGTGGGCATGGATGCTTTAGGAAGAGACTGTATGATATGAGCCTACGAGTGCATGCTCTATGGCGACCTGCGGTGTAAGATGATGGATGGAAAAGTACGCGGAAGGATTGGCCCGGTTTACTACCTGGAACTCGTTGACGAGCGGTAGAACTTTGGCCGGCTGCGCGAGTTTTCGCACGGATGGCACGTAAGGAGGACTGACTGCCTTGGTGAAGAAACATTTAGGTGAAGAAGAGCCCGGAACCGAAGGCGTGGTGTGTTCGTCCAGCCCAGAAAGGGAGAGTGGAATACAAGGGAGAGGAACAAATTAAATAACTTGTAGAGAGTCAAGAAAGTGGAAGCGGTAAAGAGCCCTGAGCAAGTACCGCGTGCATCTCTCGAGATTTGGCCCGTATACCGTGAGGATCTCTTTGCGTATTTTATCGCATCTATCACGGGAGTGCTCTGAGGAATTGTTCAAATTTATCCCAGCTGCCAAATTTCATGTACGCACTACAAGGTAAACCTCCCGATAACATCCATACCATCTGGATGCTTGGCGGTCCACCACTGTACGTTCTACTAGGTGTTTTCTTTCGCGTACGATCTCTCTGTGGAATAGTTTACCATCGGTGATTTTTCCGGACCGATACGACCTTGGGACCTTCAAGAAAAGAGCGTACTCCTTTCTAAAGGGCCGGCAACGCACCTGCAATTCCCCTGGTGTTGCGGTTGTTCATGGGCGTTGGTAGTCACTTAACATCACGTCAACCGTATGCTTTTCTATAAAAAAAAATTACTACTACACTTCCGTAACCGAACACAAAAAAATTACATACCAATTAAATATTATCGACCATACTTAAAATAATCGACGACAATTTAAGAAATGCTTGCAGAAGCCTAAATCGGGTTTAGATGACGTTATTCGTTAGTCAAACTAGCAGTGTGTATAATATTTGCAATAAGTTCTCTGAAACGTTCACAGGAGAAGAACAGATAACTGTGATAATATTTTTTTGGATAGAATTTTATATGTAAAACCAAATGATAAGTCTTTTTACTTTAAGAAAGTAGGTATATACGATAGAAAAATATATAAAAATTATAGATTTTAATAAAGCACCGGGTTTAAGCAAAATTGGAATACAAGATATAAAGCAGGTAAAGATATAAGCCCGGTATTAGCTAAATTTATAAATACGAGTGTGAGTGAGGGAGTTACCCGAATATATTAAAAAAGCAATAATACGACCAATATATAAACAGGGGAGCCACATGGACTATAGTAACTATAGACCAATTGCTATATTATCTGTAATAAATAAAATAGTAGAAAAAGTAATAGTAAATCAGATAAGTTGTTACTTAGAGCAACATAACATTATATCAGATGCGCAGTACGGGTTCCGTCGCGGACGCAGCACGGACACTGCGCTTGCGCAATCCACCGACTATATCAACAACAATCTCAATGAGGGTAAGATTGTCGCTGCTCTTTTTATTGATTATAAAAAAGGCATTCGACACTCTGGAACACGAGGTACTACTGCGTGCGATGGATGAATGTAGTATCAGAGGTCCCATCAACCGATGGCTTAAATGCTGCAAAATAGATTCTTATGTAGATTGGTATACGGAGTAACAGGGGACGATGTAAGCGTGAGTCTTGGAGTACCAACCGGATCGGTATTCGGTCCAGTTGAGTACATTATGCATGTTAATAGTGTCATTAATGTGATAAAGCATTGTAAAACGGTTATGCATGCAGACGACATATGCCTAATGTACTCAACCAATAACACGAGTGATGCACGAAAATACATGGGCACGTGATAACGGTATAATTATAAATTCATCCAAAACAAAGGCTATGTATATAAGTTCACCCCTTAATATAATTGGATAATAAATATAATTGGTCATACATACGAGTGTCTACACCTCAATAAAGCTGGCTGCCAGTGCACAAACATAGATGTAGTAGATAAATACCGATACTTAGGCCTAACAGTAGATAGTAATATGAACTGGAAACTGCACGTCAATGGTGTGTGTAATAAATTGCAATCAATACTGGGTAGATTCTTTCACCTAAACAATTTCATGAATCGAAAAGTCTTGTACGTACTGTATTGTTACGCGCGCAAGTAGACGATACACTAGCGCCATCTAGTGTCAGGAACGAGAGCGAGGGGAGCATTGAGAAAATGACATCACAAATCACTCGACCGACAGCGCCACCCGAAGAACTAAGTTTCTGGAAAATCTACACTCGAACTCTCGGTACCTTGCGCGTGTTTACTTGAACATTCTGGATATTTTGCTAATTTATATAAGTAGACGCTGCAAGATGCGATCGGGCAGAGTTGAACTCGGCGACACAAGCGAAGCTTCGGAGCGGTATTAAGTGAATTAGTGTGTTTAATTATTAGTGTTTTTAGTTTTAATTTGTGTAAAGTAAATTAAAGTGTTAATTTAGGTAATTTTATCGGCAATTTTTATTGTCACGAACCTCAAGCTCGTAACAGTATTATGCACTGGCTGACTCGGTAATCAATTATGTATTGAGCAGTTATGGGTTAACATTCAAAACACAGTTAGATCGTATACAACATTTACAGATTAGACTTCTTAAGTATGTAGTAAGTAAAAAAGTAAAATTTCAGTGTAAAACAAATTATGTCAAATTATGTAATATATGTAAAATACTTCCAGTGCATGAAAAGGTAGATTACCTAATTGCTTTACAACAATATAAAATAATTAAATTTAAACAACCTATAACGCATAAATATCGTACCAGGCAAGTTGAGAAGAATAAATATGTGATACCACATATAAGAAACTATTATGGTTAGAGAACTAGGCAATATTTAACTCCGTTAATATTTAATAGAATAGATTTTATAAGAGATACGTCCAAAGACATATGCACTGTAACATTAAAAAAAACACTGAAAAATACATTCCTATGAAAAGTACGAGGGTGGATTGAAAAGTACTCGGCCTAACCAAGAAAATAGACACATACTAAATCAGTTATATTTTTATTTTTCTACATAATCCCCATCAAGTTCAATACACTTTTGCCACCTCCCCTTCCAAGCATTTAGACCGTTGAAAAAAAATGATTCTTCCTTAGAGTCAAAATATGCGTCTACAGCTGCTTTGACCTCGTCGTTTGTCGAAAATCTTTGACCTCCCAAGTGCTTTTTTAGGTTAGGGAACAGAAAGAAGTCTGATGGTGCCAGATCAGGTAAATACGGTGGATGCGGTAACAGTTCAAAGCCACAGTTGTGAATTTCAGCCATTGACTGTACTGACGTGTGAACACGGGCGTTATCTTGATGAAACAGGACTTTTCTTCTGAGCATTCCTCGACGTTTTTCTTTTATTTCCTCTCGTAAATGACGTAGTAAGGTGCAGTAGTAATCAGAGTTTATAGTCTGACCCCTTTCAAGATAATCAATCATAATCACACCTTTCGAGTCCCAGAATACTGAAGCCATCACCTTATTTGCCGACAAAATCGACTTAGCCTATTTAGGGGGTGGTGAACCAGGTCTTCTCCACTGTTTTGATTGTTGTTTTGTTTCCGGTGTACAGTAATGAACCCATGTTTCGTCCATAGTAACAAAACGATTCAAAAAATCATCTGCATCGGCTTCAAATAACTCCAAACAGTCGCGTGAAATAGTCAATCGCGTCCTTTTTTGTTCAACTGAAAGCAGTCGCGGAACCCACCTCGCAGACACCTTGTGGAAACCCAACTCGTTGACAATGATGTTTTGAGTTCGTTCATAAGAGATGCCTATAGTCTCGGCTATCTCTCTAATTTTTAATCTGCGGTCTCCCATTATTAAATCAAGTACTTTTTTAATATTTTCTTCAGTAGTTGACGTCGAAGGCCTTCCAGAGCGGGGTTCATCTTTCACACTTTCTCTACCACGCTTAAATTCTGCTATCCATTTTTTGACGGATGAATATGACAGAGCACAATCGCCTAATGTACTGACCATGTCATCATGGATGGCTTTTGATGATAGCCCCTTCTTATGGAGGTACTTAATGACGGCACGCTGCTCGATTTGCTCCATTCGCGGAAATTATGTCCGATTACTTTGTTAATAAATTTATAAAATCACAACTAATTATCGCACACGTTTCGAACTTCACACAAGCAACTAGTCTGAACTTAACTAAATAATGTGGGTAGATTTGATTTTTAGAATTGAATGGATCTGTGTTAGGCCGAGTACTTTTCAATCCACCCTCGTATAATGTACTGCCTATAATAAATATTAATTAAAGATAGAGTCAATGACCATGATGATGACGTTGACCATGACGATGTCGATGATGATGATGATGCAGATGACGATGAAGATGATGATGACAATGATGGTGACGAAGACGATGACGATGATGATGACGATGACGATGATGATAACGATGACGATGACGATGACGAGAGTGATGATCACGTTGTCAAAGACGAAGACGATGAAGATGAAGATGACGAGGAAGATGACGATGATAATGACGATGATAATGACGATGATAATGACGATGATAATGACGATGATAATGACGATGATAATGACGAAGAAAATGACGATGACGTTGCCGTTGACCATGACGTTGATGGTGACGATGATGATGATGACAATGGCGATGACGATATGGAAGACGATGACGAATGCGATATCGATGATGATAATGTAGATGTTGACCATGAAGATTACGATGACGATGACGATGACGAAGATGATGACAATGACGATGACGATGACGATGATGACATTGACGAAGACGAAGACGATGACGGTGACGATGTTGATGACGATGACAATGACGATGATGATAACGATGACGAAGAGGACGATGACGAAGATGAAGACGAAGACGATGAAGACGAAGACGGTGACGATGATTCTGAAAACGATGATGACGATAACGATGATGATGAAGATGAATATGACAATGACGATTTCGCTGACGACGAATGACGGTGACGATGATGATGAAGATGACGATGACGATGATTATGGTGATGACGAAGACGATGACGATGACAATGACGATGTCGATGAAGATGACGATGATGATGATGATGATGAAGACGATGACGACGATGATGATGACGATGATGAAGTTGGCAGTAACGATGATGATGACGATGACGATGATGATGACGATGACAATGACGATGACGATGATTACAACGATGACGTAACGATGACATAGACGATGTCGATGACGACGACATTGACGGTGACGATGATGATGACGACGACGATGACGATGAAGATGACGGCGATGATGATGGTGATGACGATGATGATGACGATGACGATGATGATGAAGATGACGACGACGATGACGATAATGATGACCACGTTGTCGAAGACGAAGACGATGAAGATGAAGATGACGATGTCGGTGACGATGAAGATGACGAGGAAGATGACGATGATAGTGACGATGATAATGACGATGATAATGACGAAGAAAATGACGATGACGTTGCCGTTGACCATTACCTTGATGGTGACGATGATGATGATGACAATGACGATGACGAATGCGATATCGATGATGATGATGAAGACGTTGACCATGAAGATTACGATAACGAGGACGATGACGAAGATGATGACAATGACGATGGCGATGATGACATTGACGAAGACGAAGACGGTGACGATGTTGATGACGATGACAATGACGATGACAATGACGATAATGATAACGATGACGAAGAGGACGATGACGATGATGAAAACGAAGATGGTGACGATGATGATGAAGATGATGATGGTGATGATGACGATGAAGATTATGATGATGCTGACGAATAAGATGACGATGATGATGACGATGAAAACGACGATGACCATGACTTCGATGGTGACGATGATGATGACGATGACGATGATGATGACGATGTCGATGGAAATGACGATGACGTTGACCACGATGATGATGTTGACGATGATGATTACGATGACGATGGAAATGACGATGACCATGACTTCGATGGTGACGATGATGATGAAGATGACGATGATGATGACCATGTCGGTGGAAATGACGATGACGATGACGTTGAAGTAGACGATGATGATGACGATGACGATGAATACGACGATGATGATCACGAAGACGATGGCGATGATGATTACGATGACGACGATGATGATTACGATGACGATGATGATTACGATGACGATGATGATGATGATGATGACGATGATAATAATAATAACCGTGACTTTGATTGATGGTGACGATGATGATGACAATGACGATGAATCTGTCGATGACGATGACGATGAAGATGACGATGACGATAACGATGACGATGATGACGATGACGATGACGGAGACGAAGACGATGATGATGACGAAGACGATGACGATGATAATGATGATGAAGATGAATATGACAATGACGATTTCGCTGACGACGAAAATAACGGTGACGATGATGAGGAAGATGACGATGACAATGACGAAAATGACGGTGACGATGATGAAGTAGATGACGATGACGATGACGGTTATGGTGATGACGATGATGATGACGATGACGACGTCGATGTCGATGATGATGACGATGACGATGACGATGACGATGATTACGACGATGACGTAAAGATGACATAGACGATGTCGATGACGACGACAATGACGGTGACGATGATGATGACGACGATGATGACGATGAAGATGATGACGATGATGGTGGTGATGACGATGATGATGACGATGATGGTGGTGATGACGAAGACGATAACGATGATGATTACGATGAAGATGATGATTACGAAGATGATTACGATGATGATGATGATGATGACGATGATAATGATAATAACCGTGACTTTGATGGTGACGATGATGATGACAATGACGATGAATCTGTCGATGACGATGACGATGAAGATGACGATGATGATGAAGATGAATATGACAATGACGATTTCGCTGACGACGAAAATGACGGTGACGATGATGAGGAAGATGACGATGACAATGACGAAAATGACGGTGACGATGATGAAGTAGATGACGATGACGATGACGGTTATGGTGATGACGATGATGATGACAATGACAATAACGATGTCGATGATGATGACAATGACGATGTCGATGATTACGACGATGATGACGATGAAGATGATGACAATGATGGTGGTGATGACGATGATGATGACGATGACGATGACGATGATAATAACGATGACGATGGCGATGACGATAGTGATGATCACGTTGTCGAAGACGAAGACGATGAAGATGAAGATGACGATGACGATGATTACGACGATGACGTAAAGATGACATAGACGATGTCGATGACGACGACAATGACGGTGACGATGATGATGACGACGATGATGACGATGAAGATGACGATGATAATGACGATGATAATGACGATGATAATGACGATGATAATGACGAAGATTATGACGATGACGTGGCCGATGACCATGACCTTGATGGTGACGATGATGATGATGACAATGACGATGACGAATGCGATATCGATGATGATGATGAAGACGTTGACCATGAAGATTACGATGACGAGGACGATGACGAAGATGATGACAATGACGATGACGATGACGATGATGACATTGACAAAGACGAAGACGGTGACGATGTTGATAACGATGACAATGACGATGAAAATGACGTGATGATGACGATGACGATTATGATGATGCTGACGAATAAGATGACGATGAAGACGACGATGACCATGACTTCGATGACGTTGATTCGTGACGATGATGATGACGATGACGATGATGATGAAGATGTCGGTGGAAATGACGATGACGATGACGTTGAACACGATGATGATGCTGACGATGACGATTACGATGACGATGATAATGACAAAGACGTTGACGATATGATTACGATGACGATGATGATGACGATGATGACGACAATGACCGTAACTTTGATGGTGACGATGATGATGACGATGATGATAGTGATGATCACGATTTCGATGATGACGATGACGATGACGTTGACCATGACGTTGATCGTGACGATGATGATGACAATGACGATGACTATGTCGATGACGATATGGAAGACGATGACGAATGCGATATCGATGATGATGATGAAGACGTTGACCATGAAGATTACGATGACGAGGACGATGACGAAGATGATGACAATGACGATGACGATGACGATGATGACATTGACAAAGACGAATACGGTGACGATGTTGATGACGATGGCAATGACGATGACAATGACGATGATGATAACGATGACGAAGAGGACGATGATCACGTAGACGATGACAATGATAATGACGATAACCGTGACTTTGATGGTGACGATGATGATGACAATGACGATAAATCCTTCGATGACGATGACGACGACGATGACGGTGACGATGACGATGATGATGAAGATGAATATGACAATGACGATTTCGCTGACGACGACAATGACGGTGACGATGATGATGACGACGACGATGACGATGAAGATGATGACGATGATGATGGTGATGACGATGATGATGACGATGACGATGATAACGATGACGATAGTGATTATCACGTTGTCGAAGATGAAGACGATGAATGTGAATATGACGATGTCCGTGACGATGAAGATGACGAGGAAGATGACGGTGACGTTGCCGTTGACCATGACGTTGATGGTGACGATGATGATGATGACAATGACGATGACGATATGGAAGACGATGACGAATGCGATATCGATGATGATGATGAAGACGTTGACCATGAAGATTACGATGACGAGGACGATGACGAAGATGATGACAATGACGATGACGATGACGATGATGACATTGACGAAGACGAAGACGATGACGGTAACGATGTTGATGACGATGACATTGACGATGACAATGACGATGATGATTACGATGACGATGAAGACGAAGACGGTGACGATGATGCTGAAAACGATGATGACGATGACGATGATGATGAAGATGATGATGGTGATGATGACGATGACGATTATGATGATGCTGACGAATAAGATGACGATGATGGTGACGTTGATGATGACAATGACGATGACTATGACGATGACGATGTCGATGATGATGACGATGACGATGATGATGACGAAGACGATGATTATGATGATGATGACGTTGGCAATAACGATGATGATGACGATGACGATGATGATGACGAACACGATGATGATGACGATGACGATGATTACGACGATGACGTAACGATGACATAGACGATGTCTATGACGACTACAATAACGGTGACGATGATGATGACGTCGACGATGACGATGAAGATGATGACGATGTCGATGACGATGAAGATGATGAAGAATATGACGATGATGATGACGATGAAAATGAAGATGACGATGACGTTGACCATGACGATGATGATGACGATGACGATGAATACGAAGATGATGATCACGAAGACGATGGCGATGATGATTATGATGACGATGATGATGACAATAACCGTGACTTTGATGGTGACGATGATAATGACAATGACGATGAATCTGTCGATGACGATGACGATGACGATGACGATGACGATGACGATGACGATGACGATGATGACGATGACGATGACGGAGACGAAGACGATGACGATGACGAAGACGATGAGGATGACGATGATGATGAAGATGAATATGACTGACGATTTCGCTGACGACCACAATGACGGTGACGATGATGATGAAGATGACGTAGACGATAACTATTATGGTGATGACGATGATGATGATGACAATGACGATGTCGGTGATGATGACGATGACGATGATGATGACGACGACGATGAAGATGATGATGATGAATTTGGCAATAACGATGATGATGACGATGAATATGATGATGACGATGACGATAACGACGACGATGATTACGACGATGACGTAACGATGACATAGACGATGTCGATGACGACGACAATGACGGTCACGATGATGATGACGACGACGATGACGATGAAGATGATTACGATGATGATAATGATGACGATGATGATGACGATGATGATGACGAAGACGATGATGATGATGATGATGATATTGACAATAACGATGATGATGACGAAGACGATGATGATGACGATGACGATGACGATGACGATAATTGCGACGATGACGTAATGATGACATAGACGATGTAGATGACGAAGATATTGACGGTGACGATGATGGTGACGACGACGATTACGATGAAGATGATGACGATGATCCATCATCATCGTCATCATCTTGATCTTGATGATCCATCATCATGACGATGATGATGATTATGACGAAGACGATGACGATGGTGATGACGATGACGATGATGAAGACGATGAATTGTAAATTTTTAGTTCAGGTTGATGTCGCTAGATGGCGCCACAATAGGTGCTAAATAGCTCTTAGTGGTTTAAGGTCTTAACTTTTGTATTTTATTTCATCTGTGCGTAAGTCCGAGTGTGTACCGCTCGAGGGTGCTGGTGTATTTTCTTACACCCAGACATCTAGCGATCACTCAGGAAATTGACTTTAAATTTTTAATTTTTGGACTTGTAAAATTTTTCGAAATTGACTGAACGATATAGTACCATATAGTTGTAAATCATTATATCTTCATATATCGTTAACAACTTTTGGAAATTTTTATTTTTATTTTATTTTACTTTTAATTTTGTTATTATACTTTGGACTGAGTAAGGACTTTGTTATAGTGGGGGACGACCCCCCCTATTTGAGCCGCACCCCCCCCCCGCAGGGTGCTCCGGCGAAGTCTGCTGCAGGCCCCAGCTCACAGAACCCAAGGGGGAGGCTCGAGTGCGGCTCCGGAGAAGCGACCGCTCACGTCTCCGGACCAGTCACAGCCTGTGACTCAGTAGCAGAAGGTAGACAAAGAAAAGAGGAAAGGAGTGACTGTGGCCCCAGCTGCTGGGATTCCCACCCCGGAACCAACTAGGCAGTTTCTGGAGGAAGACCTAGAGTCTCTGGAGGAGGGCTTCGATGTGACCAAGGCAACCCCCCTTGGAAATCATCGAACATACACGTGCGGCTGTTAAGTCTATTATGAGTATCGTGTCTGGTCCGGGATCAAAATTAAATAAGGCGGAAATTAATAAAGTTTCGGCGACTGGACAGGATTTGATAGATATGGTGGCTGCAATGGAGGTTCATGTTATGGAAGCCCAGCTTGTGCTCTGCAGAGCAGAACGCGACAAATCGCAGGCTGAGGCTGAGCTGGCGCAACAGGAGGCCACGCGTGCACCCGCAGGTGACGGGGACCATGCCCCCACAGCAGGGAATAGCTTCGCATCTGTGCTAAGGATGCCGAAAGGTGTGTCGTCAGTGCCCATCCCGGAGAAGTTTCTACACAGCCGGGGAACAGGCACACCTAAAGACAGCGGACGACACGCAGGCCGACTGAAGATGTCAGTGAACCCTTCGGAGATTAACATTGAAGTGTCTTAATTAAGGAAGGATGGGAATGCTGGGGTACTGGTCCAGACCACGTCCGAGGAGGGGGGCACAGAATTTGAAGACTGTGGCACCACCAACGCTCCGGATTACGGAGCCCAAGCAGCGTTTGCCTTTCATGGCATTAAGAGGATTTGAAGATGATATCAAGAATGAGGAGCTACTGCCTGCCCTCCACGATCAGAATTTCAGGGATGACGAGATGTGGATCTTTGAAGAATTAAACAAAAATTGCAAGGTGGCTTTTAAAAAGTCGTGGAGAGGCAGTCGCAGGACTACAGTGGTGCTGCAGTGTAGCTCTGGTTTTAGGGACGCGTTGACGGCCCGGAAGAGACTGTACATAGGGTGGGACGTGGTCGAACCATGCGACTATGTCGACGTCACCTGTTGCCAGCGATGCCAGCAGTACGGCCACCCGGCAAAGTACTGCAGGGCCAAAGAGGCAACGTGTGGCAAATACAGAGGGGAAGGCCATGCCAGGGAGGACTGCTCTTCAGATGTTGTGTGTTGTGCGACTTGCAAGAAATTTGGCAAACCGGGCGCAAAGTCTCGTGCCACGATGGCGAAGATGTGCCCGGCTAGGGTGTACGCGGAAGAGGGGCATAAATACCACGCAGTATGGATAAGGATGATCAGATGACTATTGGGCAGCTTAACCTGGGGTGGGATGAGGTGGCCACAAAGGAGCTACCTTCTCTGGCCTGTAGCCTTTGCCTGCACATTGTACTTGTCCAGGAGCAGTGGGCTCAATCTAAAGAGTTAATACAGTTTGGCGCGGAGTCCCAGGTAGGAATCTCAATCCCACGTGGGCATAATTCCTACAGCGTAGTTTGCCATGTGGAGAAGTACGGTCTCTATCTCATCTCCGCGTACTTTAAGTACAGCGATTCCATTGACCACCACATTCAACACCTAGAGACCGTACTTGACCAGTTAAAGGGCAAGCGCGTTGAGATCGGATTCGACAGCAATGCGCACTCGCCGCTCTGGTACAGTGAGATGGCACAAACAGTGGGAGGAGGGTATAAAGCTGAACTTCGCAGGATGATTATGGAAGACTTCATCATGTCGCAAGGACTCACCCTGGCCAACGTGGAGGGACAACCGCTTACGTTCGCTGGGGCCAGGGGTGAATCTAACATTGATTTAACCCTCGCGACCAGAGGTGTTGCAATATCAGAGTGGCGAGTACTGGATTGCACCAGCATGAGCGACCATCCCCTCATCACATTTAAGATCGAAAGAGAGCGTCATGCGGAGCTTGCGGCGCTGGTGGAGGTGCCCATCTGTTTTCGTGACCGGGGAGTTGACTGGCGGTATTTCCGTGGTACAATTCATTTAAGAATGGGCAATTTGAAAGTCCAACAGCTGGCTGACCGACTCTGCGCGCAGTTCACGGAGATCGTCGTCCGATCTGCGGAGGACGTGCTCGGAAATGCGCGTCCGAGGCGGGAAGGCGGCTATGAATGGTGGACGCCTGAACTCGATAAGATGAGAAAGAAGGTATGTAGTGCGAGGAGGGTGTGGCAGAAGACCAGAAAGAAGGGTGGCAGGTTAGAGGAACTAGCTATTGAACGACTCCATAGTATCAGAGATACTGACAGATGATGGGGGAAACGGAACTAGCTCAGTTTCGGAAAATAGCCGAAACAGGCAATATAGAACCGTGGGGCGAGCTTATCAAGTAGCCAGTGGGAGGTTCCGTCCTCCCAGCAACGTGATAAATGGGATAAAGTTTTCGGAGGGATACACGGGGGGGGGGGGAGATCCATGCGAAGCTTGCTCGTGGCGCTGTGTCCGGATGACGACAGGTCGAAGGACACAGGATACCACGGTGCGCCTCATGGCAGCTTTAACTCCCACGGGGCTGACTGTTGTTCCCCCCACCATTGGGGGTCTGGTGGGCATAGTTAGGGCTCTGCCCAACACTGCTCCGGGATTGGATGGAATCAGTGCAAGAATTGTTAAGAACGTGTGGAGAGCTGCACCTAGGGAATTCCACTGGGTGTATTCCAAATGTGTGGAAGAGGGGGTTTTCCCCGAAGTGTGGACGAAAGGACGCCTAATAGTAATTCCGAAAGGGAATGACAGGCTACTAACGGATCCCAAGGCGTACCGCCCGATAACGCTCCTCCCCATCTTTGGTAAATTGCTGAAGAGAGTTTTGTTGCGGTGTGCCCCGAGTTTGGTAAGGGGAATATCGAACTACCAGCACAGGTTTTCACCGGGTCGGTCATCAGTAACGGCGCCGCAAGATGTGTTTAGCACTGCTCGCGAGTCGCAGTGCAAGTATGTGCAGGCCATCTTCCTGGATATATCGGGAGCATTTGATAATGCATGGTGGCCAATGATACTGTTGAAAGCCAAACAACGGGGGATTCCGCCTAACATCTACCGCATGTTGGTGGACTATTTCACCAACCGACGGGTGGGTATATTCGTAGGTGAGTGTGTCGAATAGAAACCATGGGCTTCCCGCAAAAATCAGTTCTTGGACCGACCCTGTGGAATCCACTGCTGGAGGATTTGTTGCGGCTGCCATTCCCCTT